GTGGCACTTCAGTACAAGTATGATCTACATGTGCAAGTTATTATTTATTTGCATGCATAAATTGGTTTTTGTTTTTCTTAGAATGATTTGATGTAGTTTTATGCTATAACAGAGTTTTGTAATCCTGGATTATTAGGTACGTGCATTATTAATCCTCTTTATTAATGGTTTTAATTTTATTACTATCATTTTAATTTGAATAGTGTAATTTAGTTTTGTCAATTATACCACGGACCATTGTGACCGAAAATTGGCTGCAAAAGCCGCCCAAATTTACATTTAAATATTAAATAATGATGTCCTTACATGTACATGTACGTTGGGCAAAAACTTTGAGCTGATTTTGATTCAGTCCAAAAGTTGAACCATACATATATTATTGCTTCACTTGCTTTTATCATAAGCTATAATGTATGTAATTACACATACTCATAATGTACATATACCTATATTAATTGCTAAACCAGACCTTCTTAATAATTATACAGTCAAACCTGTCTATTCCGGACACCTTGGGACCCAATAAAACTGTCCTTATTAAAGAGGTGTCCTTATTTCAGAGGTTCATTAATACACATTTATATTCTATTGGGACTGATACTACCTGTCCTCATTATAGAGGTGTCCTTATTTTAGACTGTCCACAATAGCAGGTTTGACTGTACATGTAATATAATATTATTTTTAATTCCTAGATCACAGTCTGCTTATAGGAAGATTTATGAAGAGCCAATTGTAGCATCAAGACAAGTAGAGGCCACAGAGACAGAACAGGAGATAGGACAAAGAAGAGCACAAGAAGTAACTATGCATACCATTTTATTATGAATACACAACAATGTATATATTTATTAATTTATTTATTTAGTTGATGAGGCTTATTAGTATGTTTTATTTAAGAAGAACACAAGAAATAAATAAGAAATATTTACCACCAAAAGGTACATATATTAAATATATTGTATAGCAGGAAATTTTGAGGGAATAAAATTTGGCAATTTGCTAAATTTTGATGGTTGGTGAATTTTAAATTGGTGAATTTGTGGCCACATGTCATTGAGCATGCGCATAATGGCTCAAAATGGCGGATTTTAATTTTGGTGAATGGCTATCAAAACGCCAATTCGCAAAATTTAATTTACTCCAAAATTTCCCACTATACAATATGCATATTGAGTACAGTGCTATACCTACAGTACAAGTATACATGCATGAAATTGTATTGTGTACATGATTAATACACAGTTATACAATGTCTACTTTTATGGATTTGTTAGTATAATTGTACTTCATGTATGCGTCTTAGTTTAATACTGATCTGATTACTATTCTACAATATTTATTTCTTTAGTTGAAAGTGTTATATTCTGTCGTCCAACTCCTCTACAAGTATCAGTGTATCATCATTTATTATCAACACCAACAGTCAGATCATGTTTATCTCATTCTCACTCACTGGGTGGTAGTCCTCACTTGGTTTGTATTAGTGCTTTAAAGAAACTCTGCAACTGTCCATCACTGGTCTACACATGTAATGATACTCAGGTACTGACTGAGAATAATGAATCTTATGCTTTTTCTAAAAAATGGCTCCAAAATCTCCCCATTTTTATTAAATTTTTAAATACAAATTAATGTACTTATGCTGTGTAGAAAGTTTGAGTCAAATCCAATAAAAATTTTCAAGTTATGACCATTTTAAAATGCAAGCCAAGTTTCTGAAAAATGGGTAGCCCATGTTTTTTTTTCAAAAAATGGCCCCAAAATCACTCCAAATTTTTATTACATTTTCTGATACATATTGATGTCCTTATGCTGTGTAGAAAGTTTGAGGTGATTCCAATGAAAATTTTTTGAGTTATGACCATTTTAAATAATGGGTCAGTTTTTAGAAAATACCCAAGGCTATAGCCCATGGTTTTTTCAAAAAATGGCTCCAATATTACCCCCAAATTTTTATTACATTTTTTGATACATATTGATGTCATTATGCTGTGTAAAAAGTTTCAGCCGATTCCGATAAGAAATTTGAGTTATGACCATTTTAAAAAAACAGACAAAT